AAAAATTTTTATATTTTATAATTTAAATTATATTAAATTATTAAATAGAGAAGGGAGCTTCCAACAACGAACAGACCTGATCCGTGTGAAACAATTGAAATTGCACAACAATATTTTCTGAAGTCATTTAATTTAATTAAGTCAACATGATCGCGAGTTCCAAAACGGAACACATGAATCTTTCCAAGGAAAACGAAGGATTCATTATCCCATGAACAAGTGATCGTGCGTGATGAGTTGTACTTGTAACATTAAATCCCTTTAATCTTGAAATTAGAGGCCATTAGATGCATCTAATTATCCCACTAATTGGTAATCGTTGCCTAATAAATCCGATATTTAGTAACTCCCTCGTGTATTGATCCTCAGACTGAGCTCCAACCCATCTCCCTCCCCAATTTATTACCCCATTTTCCCTCCTCTTCCATCGCCATCATCCGCCATGGATTCCCCCTTCGAAACCCCACATGAATTCGACTGGCATTACATCCAAGAAGACGCATTTGCAGGGTAAGATACTCAAATTAATCTGAAATTTTGTTGGGTCTCTCTGTTTTCAGTTCTTTGAGTTTTGGGTTTTTCCTTCGTCTTCGCTCCAGGATTTCGGAACTGCCACCGCTTTCCGTTTCTGATTTTGGTAGCTTCAATCTGAGATTTGAGGGTTTTGATGATATTTCCGATGGGTTGTTTTCATTCGAGGAGACTATGCTGGCTCTTCCTCCACCACCACCGGCACCGCAATTTGATGAAGATATGGTGATCGACGTTAAGCCGTTGAGGAGTTCTGTTTCAACTGTCTCTGCCTCTACTTCTTCAGGGCACTACGGAACAGCTAGCGGTAGTAGTGGTCCAACTTGGGTTGGGAAGGAAGAGGAGAGGAGGGTGAGTGGAAGGCGGAGGAGTTCTCAGTTGGAATTGGAAGAGATTCAGAAGTACTTCGACGTTCCGATTACTAGAGCTGCTAAGGAGATGAATGTGGGACTTACTCTGTTGAAGAAGAGGTGCAGGGAACTAAATATCATGAGATGGCCCCATAGGAAAATCAAGAGCTTGAAAACTCTCATCAACAATATCAAGGTATAACATGGGTGCTTTGCATGCAAAACTTTTTATTCTGCTCCCAAATTAGGCCAATGCAACATGGGATTGATGGTCCTCACTTTTCTAAAAAGTTCTTGACACTTTTTCAAAAATCAAACATAAAACCTCTTAAAATAGTTGAAACTCGAAAGCCTCTCGTACTCAAAACTGTTGAGAACCTCTTATTTTTCATGTAATAATCTGTCTTTAATTGAATTTGTCTTGCATCAAAAAGACTACTAGATTATCAATATATCTAAAGAACAATATGTCAGTTTGTCCTTGATTCCGAATGAACCAAGCATTAGGAAGATTTGACAAAGAATTTGAAACTCGAAGACTCAATCATGCTAGAAATTGTTATCTTGTTTTTTTCTAAATGCGGATTTTGGTTTGGTACAGTAGTAATGGTGTCTTGTTGTTGAATATTCAGGTGATGGGATTAAAGGGGGAGATAATGATGTTGGAGGAGCACAAAAGGCTTCTCAAAGAAATGCCAGATATGGAACTAAGTGAGAGAACCAAAAAGCTGAGGCAGGCTTGTTTCAAGGCCAATTACAAGAAAAGGATGTGTTTGGCTGCTCCTACTTAGAGTACCTTTAGTCAATGTTTTAGTTAGGTCATTTTCCTTTCTTAATTACCTTTTTCTTCAAGCACACACAGAGACCACAGTTTCTTGGCACAACATTGTAGAGAAAAAGCAGAAGTCGTTATCAAGAAATTAATGTTCATGAAGAAACACTCGCTCTTATCCACATATTGTGGGTTCAAGTTGTAGAATTAATTAGTATTAAAGAAATTAATTTTTTTTAAATATATTAGTTTAATATAAAAGTACACTTTAAGATTGCTTAAAAATATTTCATCTTAAATTGAGTAAAAATTGGGCCAAAAACAGTTTGATTGTAAATACTAAGAAAATAATTTGCCCTTGTAATATCCAACTGTCTAAGCGGTTCTTGTGAAGAAAAATGCACGTTCAAACTTAAGAGTTACGCGTCAACCTTTAAGTCTCATGAGTTCAAGTCATGCCAACAACTCCTTTATGAAATGACAAGAGAGGATACCTTGCTTAAGACCGTAACTTATCAGCTTATATCTTACCCACCAAATTTTTTTTTCTTTTAAGAGAAAATTAGTCTGGTGAGTACTAGAAGGATAATTTACTCTCATAATTTTTAACTATCTAAGTGGTCGTTGTGGAGAAACTTTCATGTCCAAGCTTAATAGTTGCGGACAACCCTAAGTCTCATAAGTTCCACTCATGCCAACAACTCCTTTATGAAATAACTAGGGAGGATTGCTTATGGCGGTAACTTATCAGCTTAATTATATTTCCCTTCAAAATTTGGACAAACCTTCAAAAACTACCTTTAAAATAAAAGGGTAGGGATAGATTTGTCTCTAAAAATAAGTAAGAATAAATTACCCTTTTAAATAATTGATTAAGATAAATCATATATTATTTAACATATAACGTTATTATATGTCAATTTTTTTATTAAAAACATATTTAGATAACAAATGAATTTATGATGTGTGATAATATCACATGTTAACTAATAACTTATCTTGAATGATAATTTAAAAGAATAATTAGTCTTTACTTTTTCTCTGAGAGGCCTCTCCTCTCTTATTTGGAGAGTGAATTTAGGGGTTTTGCCTCAAAATTGCATGATGATCAAATAAAGAGAAGAAAACCACTTATTAGCATTACACATAAATAATTAAGAAAGACAAAAAAGAGTGTATGTTTTGGGCAAGAAAAGACTAAAATATATTATACTTATTTATTTTGTACAATTTAAACTTTCCAAGTCTCTAATGTTTAGGAAAGTCAGCATTGGATGAAGAGGTCTTTGTTCTGATTTTCTCTTGGCCCCGTCTCCACGGGACCACCTGCTTCAAACTTGTATAAATGCTTGCCTGCAATTGTAAATTGAATTATTTTCAGAACATGGATGTATATAACGAAACCTTAAAAAAAATTACAAAAGGTAAAATAAATACACATTAAATTAATTTGGTTAATAATGTGAACACATAGAAACGGTTAGTTTTTAATAGCTTCAGTCTACGAATGAAAATAAATACACTACAATTCATGCACCTCAATTAGTTGAACAATATTATTGTTACATTCTTAATTATTAATACCATATTTTTTATTTTAATTGATCATTATATCTTTTAATTTATTAAAAACAAAAAATATAAAATTTCAAGAACAAATATAATGTAAAGATATAATAAATAATTATATTAAAAGGTTGTGGTACTAACTATATATTTAGAGAATGTGGAAACAACCCCATCCCAATTACCCTAATAATTTATTTATTTATAATTTATTTTTATTTATGGATTTTTTTAATATATTATATTTTTATCATAAATTTATATTAAAAAACAAAAATTAACCTTTAATTTATCAATTGTTTAATCAATTATCTAATATTAAATTAATATTAACTTAATTTTCTATATTTATTTATAAAAATTCTTTATTTATTTCAGAATGTGCATGTATATACCAAAACCTTAAAAAAATTAAAATTACAAAAGATAAAATATTAAATGCACAATAAATTAATTTGGTCAATAATGTGAATATATAGAAACTGTCAGTTTTTAATAACTTCAGTCCACAATGAAAATAAAATACGCTGCAATTCATGAATCTCAGTTAGACTAGGAATTTTTCACATAAAAAAAAAAATTAGACTTGTAATTTTCCTTTCTTTTTATGCATCTCAAGAGGAGTTTTAGATTGTGAGTTTTTAAATTCGAACAATTAAAACAAATAAACCAGACAACGATTAATCCTAATGAAATAATTTAATGATTAAAAATTTAAAATTTCAATAGTCCTTTTTTGTATAGTCCATTTAGATATATAAAAAAAAAATAAAAAAAAAAAGACAGAAGATTTAGGAAAGGAAAAACGATCTACTGTACAAGCTAAAGAACAAAAGATGGACTAATCATTTTCTTCCGTTAAAGCTATATCAGTGTTTTTTTTTACTAAATTTAGACAATCAGGTGTAGCAGATCATCAATTTATCCCTCCCTGGAAAAACATACATACTAACATAATCGATTAATTTGAAACAAATTTAGAATTAAAAAATGATAATTATTTTAAGATGAAAAAAGTATAATTTATGATAAAAAAATTTACAATTGCAATTATAATTTATTTGTTAATGCCAAAAAAAAAAAGAAAAAAAAACTCAAAGAAACTTGATTACTTGTACCTTCTAAAATGTTAAAAGTTTAAAAATTATAGGTGATCAAACTGAAATATTTTTTTAAAGTCTGAAGTAAACTTGGTGCATGAAATTTACATGTTCGATCATCCTGTAATTCTCATGTAATAAAAGGAGTTTTTTTTTTTTTAATTTTCTTTTATATTTCCATTATTTTAATTTCTCCAGATCCGGATTAAAACATGTATATCCAAAACTCCGAAAAAAGAAAAAGGAAAATTGCCAAGTAGTACTTACCCAAAGGTCTGACCGAGAATGAAGACTCAATAAACTCCCTTTCCTCCTAACCCTTGTGATCTTCACCTGCGTGCCATGGCCGCTGCCACCACCGCCGTCGCCATCATTGAGAACACCGGAAGGTGAAAAATTGAAACCACTGTCGGCAGCAACTTCCCCGCCCTTCCTAAAACTCGCCCACCTACTAGACCCAAAAAACACCTTTTCCTTACACTCCAAACTCCTAAACGACCCTCCTTTTCTTAAAGATGCCGACCGAAACGTGTAAGGCCCATCCAACACAGTTGTCGGAGACGGCATAACCTTAGCCTCGTCATACAACAACCTCGGAGGCAGCTCCAAGCATCTGACAGCAGTACCATCGGGTTTACCACTCCCAGTATCGCAAAGCCTCGGCTTCCCCGGCTCTTCCTCCCACTGAAACGGAATCGAAATAGTTGAACGGAGTGGCGGGGTTGCCGTCCCCGGCGGCTGGGTCTCTAATTTTACCTTACTGGGGATGTTCAAAAGAGAAAGCTTCGGAGGAGTGGATGAGGCACCTCCTCCATCGTCGACTGCTGCTGCTGCGAAACCCATTTCTGTACCTTAATTTTTCCTTGATGCGTGAGATTTTTTTTATAGGAAAAGCAAAGAGAAGGGTGAATTTTGTGTGAGGAGCTGCAGGCGATTGCAGGAGGAGGAGGAGCGCTCCCTGGCGCTTCTTATTCACGAGGGAATGCCGCTTTTTTTTCTTACTTGTGCGAGAAAATCACGAAATCAGTAAAGGGGAGGACCCACCTTTGAAACCTGGATGTGTTTTTATTGGTTTGGGACGTTGAGGATGGCAATCAAACGGGCAGAAGTCGATCAATTAGGTGGGAGACTTTGAAAAGTCAAGTCACTTTTTTTTTCCCTTATTAATGAAGATTTGGAAATTGAGGAGCACTTTCAATAAATAAAAAAATGGATTTTTTTTTTAATTTGTATTTTTAGTGTACAAGTTATAAATATTTTTTTATAAAAAATTTTAATATGTACTTTAAGCCACAAATTAAAAATCTCATTAAAAAAAAGAGAAAGAAATTGAGGAGCATTGTCCACGTTCTCTAACCTCATTCTTTGGACACTCTCCAAAACTTTTTTTTTTTATACATTGTAATCTCTAGTTTTAGAATAATTAAAGATTTTTTATTTAAAATTTTTTTAGGTTAATAGTTATTCTTTTATATTTAAAAAAAAACAAAAACTTTTTTCCCCACTCCAATTTTACTATCATTTCTTAATTTTAAGTATTCACCTTATTATAAAAAAAAAATTTATCTTTATTTTTTTAAGAACAATGTAGATAAAAATAGACTTGTTCTTAAATTGTTAAATAAAAAATAAAATAAAATAATATTTATTATTTTAAAATGGAAAAAATTATTACATAAATTTTATGAATTTATTTATTTTAGAGTTCTAAAAATTTTAACATTAGATTGTAAAAAATTACCCATGATTTGGTTACAAGCCTTTTTAAAGGTATATACTAAAGTCTTGAATTCTATACTCAACTATTTTGTTTCTCCTATCTAAATATTTCCCTTGCTAGAAAAAAAAAATACTAGATTTCGAATTAGATCATTAAGAGAATATTTGATTTTTGAGAAATAGAGCAAAATGACAACGATTTTTTTTTTTTTTTGTACAATGAATTAAGAGAGTTAGTCAAAGCTGTAATTTTATTGGTTAAAAATATTATCCATCTCTTCTCTTCTCTTCGCTTTCTTTACGGCCCCTCCTCTTTGCTTTTTTTACAGTCTCTCAAACCAGTGGCGAGCTAAAATTTGTAGGTAGAGGGGCACAAATCATAAATATATATTAATACAAAAATATAAAAATAATAATGTAAGAATATGATTGAAAAAAGAATTACCATAAAATAAGGGAAAAAGAGATGAAACTACCTTTATTATTTTTAACTTATAAGTTAATTAAATCTAATATCTATAACTCAATATATAAAAAATCATACAAATCCAAAAAAAATTAAAATATAAATTAAATGAGAAAATATTCATAAAAGAACAAAACAAAATTACGAAAAAACATATTTCATGATTATCATGCACCTCTGCTCAAAAGTTATAATTAATATGTTATTTTATGATTTTATTGATTTGCTCCTTTAGTTTTTGTATATTTGTACTTTTAATGTACTTATAAATTACATAATACAGTAAACTCTAAAGATTAAAATATTTAAACTTAACAATTCAACAAGTATAAAATTTAAAGATTTTTTAGTAATAGTACCAGAATTTAAACAATAATTGCTACAAAGGAAAATAATTCAAAAACAATTTTTAATAACTTTTTAAAATAACTTTATTTATTATTTAAATAATTTATTTATTTATTTATTTAAAATTTATGATACTAAATACATCTACTCATTTAATGACATATAAAAGCTAAATAAAAAAATTATATAAAGAGTTTATCCCTGTATCACTACTCTTATCACAAAACAATAATTATAAATTACTATATAATAGATTTTTTAAAAAATAACATAATACAATAAATTCTTTAATTTTTTAAAAATATTAAAGTATTAGCTAAAAGCTGCAATCTAACTAGAAGTTTTAAAAATCTAATTGAAAGGAGAATCTTGTTAAAAAAATAATTCAAGAAAGACTGTATTATTGTATATTAGGTTTAAAATTTTAAAAACTTAATATTAATTAAAGAATAGTTTAGATGAAAGCAAATAATTAAATAGAGTTAATTACCTAAAAATTTAAGTATAATAGCAAGTCATACAACTTTTATTTTTTTTTAAACTTAAAATATTTAACTAAATATATTTTATTTAATTTTTAAAATAGACAAATATGTATATACACTGAATTTGTTTAACTATAAAATTTTAACTTTTTTTCTTTCAATATTTTAGACGGGGCCTGGTCCCCGCAGGCCCCTTATCCCCGCCACTGCATCAAACTATTTATATCCGAACCATTTCAATATATAAGAAATCAGTTTTTTTTTTTAATATATATTATAGTATTATTATTATTATGTGGTCTTTTTTTTTTTAAAGGAAAAAATGGTCATAAGTTTGTATTTTTTTTTTTTAATTTTAATTCCACAATGAAAAGCAATTCTTTGTAATCTTTGTAATCTTTGTAATCTTTGTAATCTTTAACTTACCTCACCCACATATCATGGGATTCAGATCTCTTCCTTTTAGTAAAAGTAAATTATCATTGAGTTAGGTAATCATAACCTTCTACTAATAAAAGAGGTACAGCGATTACCAAACACTCTCTACCTCTATATAGAGGTAATCTAGTAGTTTGTGATTTTCAAATGCTACAATTGATAAATCTTTGAAGTAGATTGTAGCTCAAATAATAGATACAACTAGTTAAGTATAACCGCAAAGAAATTGCAAATACTAACTATCCTCCTTGCTTTTCATGTATTAATTATATGATTGTAGTACACCTAACATCATAATAACTTAAGACAATAGGAATTAGAACCCATCTCTCTTTCTATCCTACTTGAAATAACAAACTCCATGCCAAAGAAAGTTTAAAGCAAGCACATTGAATCAAACCCCTCTGTTTTGCCGCAATATAGTCTTTGAACACCAATAAAAAATATTTCATGTTTCTAAATCTCCATATTCTACAAAAAAAAAAAACCAATAGCAACATTCTTAAATATTTGAAGGCAATGCCCACAATTCTCGGATATTACCTCCACTAGAACCTAAAAGGCATGACCCATCCCAAACTAAATCTATCTCCCTACAAACTTTCACATAGTTTTTTTAATACATCTTATAATGATGGGTTATATAAGAAGATATAACCCTTATCTTTTCCTAAATCCCTTTCCACCTAAGTCAAGGTTCAAACTTAAGAATTTCAACTTGAAATCTTAAGTTCTTAACCATTGAGCCACTCCCTTAAAAGTATAAACCTTCAAATAATATACCAATTAATCTTGATAAAAAAACTGCCACTACCTCATCTTTCCCCTTTGAAACAAACCACCCCAAAATAGCAACACAATTGCATTCCAAACTAGGGGTGGGAATTTTGGTGGTTAATTGAAGGGTTAATTGAAAACTAACCCAAAAAAATGAATTTGGGTTGGTATTAATGGTATTTGAGTTTGGTATTACCCGAATAAATTTTGGGTTAGTTTCAATTGGTCTTTCCACTAATCGAAAATTGAAAATAGACCTCTTAAAAACCAAATTGGAGGCCCAATTTTTTTGTGCCCAAAAATTAAAAGAACAAGGGGGAGTAGTAGAAAACCCTAATTGCTGCCCCCACCCTTCTTCACCTCCACTCCGCACCTACGCCTCAATTTGAAGATTCCCTCCAGATCATTTTACTCTCCAAAATCAATCTAATTAGATCTAATAAAGATCTAATTTCCCTCCATCCCTGCCATTCCACCATAAATTTTTTTCCATTCAATCATTATTTTTTTCATAAGTATAAAAGGATTTTGACATCATATTACCATAGTTGTTCATCATTTCATTTTCTAAATTTCAATTTGTTTTTGAAACTTTCTTTTTTCCCCGTCTTTTTCCCTTTGTAACAGTGTTGGTGTTGCTACCTATGCTACTACCTAATAGTATTCTTTCTACTCCTAACCTTATTCATTTTCCCTATTTCTCTTTGGTCTTTCTTTGGTCGTGAAACCAAAAACCCAATCCCTACCTTTCAGTTCTCATCTAAGCTCTTATTCTCTCCCTTCAACTTATATCAATGGATGCTAGTAGAGGCTCTAAATCTTCTATTAGTCAGGTATTTTTGAAACCTTAAATCAATCTGTCATGTGTTAAACATTAGCTTATTTTCAATTTTAAATCTTGTTTCAATTTTACATTTATATGGATTAGCTAATTGTTAGCTTTGATCTTTCAATTACAATTCTTTTGCCCATTTGTGTTGTTGTTACATTCTTAATAACTCATGAAATGGCAAAGATGCAACCTAACAACTTAAGAGTACAGATTAAGTTTTAGAAATTATTGATATTAACTTTTCTACACTTAAGATTTATTTACTCTAAAGTACATAAGAAATAAATTAATTTATACTTAAACTTGTATGTTGGTTGATAATAATGGTATCAGTGATGGATGCTTAATGCGAAACTAAGATGCTTATACTATCAATGATGGGCAGCCATAAAATATAGAAGCTAAATTAGGAGATAATTCCAAACAAGCACAACAAAGAGGAGAGAAAGGCAAAAACACTGTTAATGGGAAAAGAAAGAAAGGTAAGAAATATTTGAAGTATGGAATCATTTTACTAAGATTGTTGATAAGGATGGGAAAAACAAGGCTACATGTAACAATTACAACAAGTCTTTTGCTTGTAATAGTATAACTAATAGGACCTCCTAAATGAACACTCATTTACTGAGTTATAGTCAGTATGCTGAGTCTACAAAGAATTAAACAATGCTTAGTTATTGTGGTGGTGATGTTGACAATGGTGAACAAATGCCTTATTTAAGCACTTGGAGGTTTAGCCTTGAGTCTATGTGGAGGGCTTTAGCTAAATTGATCATAGTTGATGAAATTGATCATAGTTGATGAAATTCCATTTAGTTTTGTTGAAAAGCAAGGGTTTAGGAAGTTTTATCAACTTGCATTGCCCCCTAATTTTAAGATCCCATCTAGAAGGTCAATAACCAAAGATTG